GGGGATGGGACAAAGAGGACAGAAAAGGGGGGGAAAAAGCTACAAGAAAGCAAGAAAAGAATGAGAAAGTGAGATAAACAGAGGCTAGAGACCTTTAGACAGGTGGAAGTGAGAAAGGAAAAGAGATAGGGAGCCAGGGAGTCTTATGCTCAGGATCGCCCCAAGCAAGTCCAAGTGAGCCTGGTCCGGTGCGTCCAAAGTGGAAGGAAGGAAGGAAACCAACAGAGTATTGATCTTGGACTTCAGTGAAGCGCTCTACTGGCCCTGACCCATCTCCAGGCCAGTTGGAACCCGAGGCCCTCAGCTCTGGGCATCCCTCACAGTGGGCCCCTGGCCCTTCAACCCTTCTGGTCCTGGCCCCAGCATGGACCAGTCAGGGGATGTCAAGACAGTTTTGAGTCTATGTTTCCACTCTTTTGCTGGGGTCCACCTTCCAGACCCTACAAAGAGGGTAACCCACTCAGTTGTGGGAGCTGGGGTTAAGGCACCCACCTTTCACCAGGGTGATAACTGCCCTGGCATTTCCTGGGGGCTTCCACACCCCTGAGAGCCCCACCAGGCCACCCACTCCTGGCAGAGTGCAGTTATAGGTCATGCCCAGGACCCAGAGCCTCCTGACCATCCCCTACAGCTCCTCCCTTACCTCCAGATGATACCAGCAGCCCTGCTCCCTAGTGATGTTGCCTGGCCTTCCAACAGCAAAATGCCCTGTTTATATGGGCAGCCCTGAATCCAAAATGGCTGCCCTAATCAGGCACCTGCCAGCTGCTGTCTTCAGGCCCTTAAAGTGGCAGGCACAAACAGTGGTCCTGCCACAGCACCACTACAAGGTGAGGCAAACTCTGGGCAGAACATATGTTTGAGCTGGAACCAGTACCTGTTATGAGATGAGGTAGGTTGTTTAAGTAGGTTGAATGGGGCAAATCTGAACGGAGTGTATCTGAAAGGGTACATGATGGAAGTGGACCTAAAAAAGGACCTGAAAACAGCCTGCTTTGCTTGCTTAGCCTATGGGTGGTGGGATAAGGATTGAAATGGAAAGGGAAAGTGGCAGGGAGCACAGCAAGAGAATGTTATTTGGCAATGTAACAGAAAATTTGTGATTGCACCTGGGAAGATGATTATGGGATTTTGATCACTTAGTTTAAACAAAAAAACAAACTGCTCCTCCTCAGCTTGACTCCTGACTAGTTTTTGACTCCTGCTTATCATGCTTGGATGTTCTAGATCCCTGGCTTCTGACTTTTGGCACTGCCTAGACTACAGATGTTAATCTTCCTTATTGAATAGCACTTTGACTTGGACTCTGGTTCTGACACTCTCATGCCACATGAAAGTGCTTGGGTCCTGCTCTGAATCCTCTTCTGGTTCAGGTACTTGTCCATCCTGCACTCCTTGAGATTGCCTATCATTATGTGGGGGGAGGGGCATGGCTGGCCACTGAATCCAGGGCTTGACCTTTGGCAGGGGAGCAAGCAAGGGCTGTGCTGACATAGCCCTTCTTGCTCTGTTGCTGCTTAGCCCACTGCTTTTCACCTCACCACTCCTTGCCTCCCTGCCTTCATTGCTGCCATTTCCATAACTTGCCCTGGAATAACATTTAATTATTAAAGCAACATATTTGTAATTATTGTATAAAAAAATTAAGAGTTTTCACATGACAGTCTGAGAGAAATCTTTTCCCTCCCCTCCCTTTACACTATGGCTGGCTGGTTACAACAATTGTGCTGGGGGGTGGGGGTGCAAATCCACTCTGATAAATCCTTATCCCATGTGAGAACTCTCAGCACAGGGCTATTGGGCAAAAGGACAGCATTAATTCCACCTTCTCCACCTCCACCTCCTGCCATCTGTTTGTGGAAAAGAAGCCTGCTTTCTCTTTTTGTTTAAAAAGAAAGAACTTGGGGAGGCCTACCTCCAGGGGAGAGGTCATGTTTGTGAATCCTGGATGGAAGGAGATGTAAAGTCCCTGAGAGTGGTGGGACTTATGCCACATCCATTTACTTGGCCTTTTTTATTTGCCTAGTATATGTTTTCCTTTCCCCTGGTCAACATTCTAGTTTCTGTAAGTCCCAGTCAGAGGTTCTGTACTCTCCTCATGCCCAATGCACAGAGCCTGCATGCCTCACACAGGGCTGTGGAGTCTTAACCAGTAGGCCAGCAAAGGATTAAGTGCCACAATTCTATACCTTGTAACACCCAAATTTCTCTTGCGAATCTAGCCCTCGCTTCTGGCTACCCATCTGTTCCACTGCAGCAGCAGCAGCTTGTAGGACTTCCATGGGTGCAAACACTTCACATCTGGCTCTAGAAGCCTCCTCTCCCCCTGTATGGTCACCTACTACGGCTTGGTGTGTTACACAATTTGCCAATTGCTCAAATCATAGATTTATAGACATTAGGGCTGGAAGGGACCTCAGAAGATCATCGAGTCCAGCCCCCTGCCCTAGGGGCAGGAAGTCAGCTGGGGTCAAAGGATCCCAAAAAGACGAACATCCAAATGTCTCTTGAAGGCATTCAAAGTGGGTGCTTGAACCGCCTCCGGTGCCAGGCTATTCCAGACCTTGGGGGCTCAGACAGTAAAGACGTACTTCCTTATGTCCAGCCTGAAATGGTAGCAGTGGAGTTTGTGACCATTCGATCTTGTCATCCCTTGGGGCACTCTGGTGAACAAACATTCCCCCAGATCCTGGTGGTCACCCCTGATAAACTTATAGATGGCCATCAGATCACCCCTGAGCCTGCGCTTTTCCAGGCTAAACAGCCCCATGGCTCTCAGGCTGTTGTCATAAGCTCTGTTTTCCTGACCTCTGATCATGCACGTGGCTCTTCTCTGGACTCTCTCAAGCTTCTCCACATCCTTTTTGACTTGTGGGGCCCAAAACTGGATGCAGTACTCCAGCCTCAGCCTCACCAAGGCTGAGTACAAGGGGAGAATGATGTCCTCAGATTTGCTTGAGAAGCATCTATAGATGCAAGCCAGCATTTTGCTCGCTTTACTAGCTGCAGCATCACATTGCAGGGTCATGTCCATCTTGTGGTCAATCCTGACCCCCAAGTCCCTTTCATCCATAGTGCTA